GAGCAGAGCTCCGAGCTGCCGGGCAGCATGCAAACACACGACGGTGTTTTGTCTGTGGAGACTCCCGTCACCTGCGGAACGGTTGCCCCCTGCGCAAGACGCGCCAAGGTTCTTCGAATAATCGCCCCAACGCCTACCAGTCTTGTTTGTTGCGGGAAAACGACACCACTCAGTGGGCGCGGGGCGACCTACTGAGGAAGAACTGCGTTCTGTTGAGCCTCAGAGAGGCATAGGTCAACAGGGCCCAGCCCCGAAGAGCTCCGTGCTCTTAAACACTGAGCGTGTTTGCAAGCCGGGCTTGCTGGTCGTGGAGGCGACCGTAAAGGACTTCGAGAAGCCATGGAAGATCCTCATCGATTCTGGGGCGTCGGACAATTATGCTCGACACTCCACGATGGAGAGAAGTCAGCTGTATGCTGAGGCACTGAAAGCGCGGTTGGGTGACATCGTCACTGTTCGATTAGCGACAGGACGCGTGTCACAGTCCCGAAGGGTTAAGAAAGTCGAGCGTGAATGTTTCTTGACTTTGATAGCGTGGAACACTGTCTAGTCTTATACTTGGATGCAAGGTATGACCTCATCCTAGGAATGGCATGGTTGGAACACCATGAGCCATGGATTGATTGGAGGACAAAGACCTTGGGAGCTACGCACACGTCTTCTGGTGAAGCTTTGGAGAGTCATGAACCCACCTCTGCTAGAGGACAAAAGCGCTATTGGCGAGAGCACTGGACCGAGACGGTCAACGTGCTAGACATTGGGATGTCCGAGTTGGTAGACAACAACGGTGCATTGGACAGGAGTCCCGAGCAGTCGCTGCATGACATGCGTGACATGGTCGGGTCAAGGGCCGAGGCATCGATGGCGTGACCCACGTGATCTACGTGAAGTGGCACGTAAACCACTGAGCGCTGCTCAAGTTTCAAAGCAGTCGCTGCTTGCCATTGATGGCGTGGTCGGACAGAGTCCGAGGCATCTTGGGCATGGCCTTTCGGATGCGCGTGGAGTGGCACGTTATCCAATGGATGAAGATTGCGGGGTTATCAATCCTTCGTCGGATGTTGTTGATAACATTGGAGCACCAATGGAGCGGACAGTGAGGTGACACCGGGCGACGCGGTTCTATGTCTCACCTAGACATAGAGCCTCTGTACAGAGGCGACGGCGACGCCGTATGCTGGCTGCGAGATGCCGGGCATCGACTCTGATCCAGGGTGTGTCTATTGTAGAAGACGGTGCACAGTTATACACCCTCGTCAACGGTACGACGGGGGAGTAGGATGGCGACGTCTGCCTCGAGGCTAATCCTGCAGTAGATGCTCTTTATGAGCTGGTCGAGATGCCCCTTGAAGAGCTCGTCAGTGCCTTGAAGGCTGGCGATTTGGCCGAAGTGGTCATTGTATTAAAACCGGACGAGAAGATAAACTCGCCATCGCTTCTGGATGCAGCTGTCTTGGGGGATACCAAGAAAGTGCTGAACGCACGAAGTGGATCGTCGATCCAACGGAATCCCTCCGATCTGTATCACCTTTGGTAAAAGAATGTTAAGACGTCGTCTTCAAAGACTTGCTTTCAGTAT